AAAAATAAACACAAGAATTTTCGCCCTAATGCAATAGGTTCAGAATAAGGCTCCTAATTCCCTTTTGAGCTTTCGTCATTGAAAGAAAATCAAGTTCAATTTCCTCAATTAAATCCAGTAGTCAACAATCTAGTCAGCAGCAACATCATCTTGGTCACGGTCAACAATCATGCCACATTTTCAACAAAGACATTTTGTATATCAGACAAACATAGCCGATTCTAACTATAGGGCCGAAAAAATTTATTATATTTTTGTTAGTAATTTATTAAAAAAAAAAGAGTGAACTGAAAAATCGATTTATTTATCTTTATTTTAGTAACACCGCTTCTACGGGAAATAAGGAATCAATCAATACTAAAACTAAAGGATTCCCCCTTTTTCGAAAAAGCTTCTTTTTTTTCTCTATTGACACCAGCCAAAATCCGTTGAATTATAATCAATTACCCTGCGTGGAACCCAGCATTAGCAAGTCCCATGCCGAATGTTAGGTTGGATTGTTCTTGACTTTTTCTCTCTCTTTTTTTGGGCTTACTCTTCTTTTTCTCTTATTTTCTCTCTTTATCATTTCTCTATCATTTCTTTTATTTGTTAGTGACCTTATAGCTTTTATTTTACTTTCTCTTCTTGTTTACTTATCCTCAATTCTTCATCTCCAAATTCTACTCTCGGCAAATTCTCTAGTTTATATTTACGGTTTTGACAATACTGAAATGTATGCCTTTTGTTTTATTTTTATATCCTCTTGTATACTTTTTTGGTATTTTAAATTTTCCTTGTTTTTCAATTTTCGTATGAAAGTATAAAATAGGTCAGATATGGAATTTTGTAACATGAAAAATTCTTAAACCATTATCACAAACACATTGGTGATAGTTTAAAAATGATATAAGTAATAAGATTTCAAGTGCCATAAAAATCGCTCTATAACACTTAGTGGAACACATATGATGACCCAATGGTATTTAGAAATGCTAAAAAATTGATCTATCACATAGGTGATAGTTTAAAAGTGTGAAAGTAATCAGATTTCAAGCGCCATAAATAAAAATTGCTTTAGAACACTTAGTGGAACATATATGATGACACTAGGGTATTTAGAGATGTTAAAAATTTATATTCTAACAATATGGATTTTGAGTTTTTGTTATAGTTATTTGGTACAATAGATTATCTGCTATTAATAGTGTAAGCAAAATGTTATAAAGTGAGAACATGTCTATTAATGTTGTTATTAGTCATTTGAAAGCACTTATTTCACTTTTTGAAGCATACATAAAAATTGTATGTGAATCTGAACAGAATTACTCGTAAAAAAATTGTTGCCCAAATGGAAGTTGAATATATATTTTATGACATGTGAATTATTTATAGAAAGAACCGCTTTGATGAAAATATTAATGATGAGAGTAGAAGAATGTTTTAGAGTTGTATGTCTTACATATAGTGGATCAAGCTCTTTTTACTTAAATTAATGTTAAACTAATTTCAAAAATATGAAAATAAGTTTAGATTTTTGTTTGATTTAAAAGAATTACGGACTCAAGATAATAATCATTTGAATTCTTAGTGTACAAGCTTGAAAAATTTTCGAAGCACAACATGCATTTTGATTTTGATGTTCAAAAATTATTATATTTGTTGATTGTTAGGAATTGTTCTTTAAACAAGATCAAATAGCGATTGAAGTATTAGAATATCTAAAATAATGGACTGTTATTTTTTAAATGTGTGGATTGTTTCTAGAATATTATTGATTATATCAGTTATATAATTATATTTATCGAGATGAGCTTTTCGAATTTGAATTAGACGGAATCTTACTTTTGGTGAACAATGTTATTAGAGAAGTTGAATGGATTGCTCATGGTGTATGTTAAAAAAAGTTCTAAAAGAGATTGCCTTTAATAGTATATTTTTGTTTTTCTATAAAAATATAAAATAAAATTAGAGAATAAATTTAATTTAGACATTTGAAAATTTTAGATTCTTATTTTTATAACTTTGCATATTTCCATTTAATAAAAAATTTATTTTTATTATTATATTTTAAAATATTTTATATATACTATATTTGAAGTTGGCTTAGCAACATCGACCCAGTGGACAAGATTCTTTAAGATCCTCCCTTTTGCGGTTGATTTATATATTCCAATTGCCAGTCAAACGGAATGAATCCACCCAGAAAGAGATGACTTATAGTAAAATCTTAATTTGACTTGCATATACTGAAATGGCACTGCTTTAAGTCCAGCCCTAATCATGAAACCTATGTTTAATATAAATGAGCATGTGACTCTTGGCCTGTTCAGTAAAAGCAATAAAGGATGGGAAAAAAAAAAAATTTGCTTTATTTGTTGGTTCATAGTGACCAGAGCTTTGAAACATGCTGTTTACAAAAACAAAATTTAAACATACGATTAACGTTGAGTTAAATACAAGAATTAGTTTCTAAACTTTCTCATTGTTATTGAGTCTTAAAATTTTTTTGAGTTATATCGAACTTTTTTATAATATTTTTCTCATGTCATTGAAATTTTAGTTTTTCGATTTATCGCTAAACCCTTTTTTTGGCACCTTTGAAACTTTATTGATAAACCCTCACATATGGCAAACGAACACTGTGATACTCAAAATTACAATACAACCAACAATTAAAACTAACTAGAATATGAAAGGAGTACCGATACTATCAAGTCTAATACAACTAAAAGAACGCCTGAAAAAAACTATCGCTAGAATTTAAAAAAGTCGAGGTACCATCAAAACGTTAACTTAATGACCTTTCACTATATTATGGGAGAAAACAAATTATTCTTCATAAAAGGAAAGAATCTTAGCTGGTGGCACGCGCAGTTATGCACACATACGTAAAGAGAAATGTCGAATTATCTTTTAAAAAAAATTAATAATAATAATAATAATAATAATAATAATAATAATAATAATAATAAATACCTTAGATGGGGCAAGGCTGCAATTTGCATCATTGGGATTTTTTTATTTTTCATTTTTTTTAACTTTTGCTCATTCTACTTTACTCTAATCTTTTGTCTTCTTAATCATGCTAGTGTTTGGTGTGGATTAAAATTAGATTTTTAGCGAATCTTAATAGAAGTTGATAAAATGTGTTATTAAAAAATTGTCAAATTATAAAATATGTGGTTAAAATTAATTATTAACTTTGATTTAAATTAAAATTTTGATTTTAATTTATACCAAACATGAAATATATATAAGAACATAGATTTCACTATTTTCTCCATAAATACCATGGTAGTTTTGACAATGATTCGAATTTGGCATATTCCACCAATGCTTTTAGAGCCTCAAAGTGGATTTTCACTTTTAAAAGTAGGATCTGTGAGATGTGATGGACTCTTGAAAGAGGCCTAAATATAGTCATCATTATAAATAGATCTTTTTGGTTACATTTTAAAAATCATTCAGGTTGCCTTCTTTTTTTTTTTTTTTTTTTTTTTTTTGGTAACCAGGTGTCCGTCTTACAGCGACTAATTCTGGAGCCTACGATCCAGCCCCTCTTCACGCAGACTATTTAAACCACGGATTGTGCCCCAAAATGACCAGGGTCCAAAAGCCCTCCCAACTGAACTACCGAAGAGCCGAACGAGTCAAACCCATATATGCGTCTTGCCTTCCAGAAGAACTCCTGCCTTCCAGGAAATATCATGTCTTCCAGGAAAAAGTCTGTCTTTCAAGAGTCCCATGAATCGAACCTGTGACTTCTGAACTACCCGTCTTGAAGAACTTCGTCCTTTGCCAGTTGGGATGTGTCCCGAGGGGCCATTCAGGTTGCCTTTTAGTTGTACAGTGTCTATGTTGTGTGGTTAACCAAAATTTTAATCTAGCATTTATCTTTTGGTTAAATTCAGCCGTTTTTCTTTAATGTTTTAAATAATGAATATAAAATTATCAATATTGGAGCTGAAATGTCTACGATTAAGATGAGAGTTGACTTTTAACCCAAAATTAATGTTTGGTGATTTACAATTTTAGAGTAGGTTCTTTTATACGCTCTCTTAATTTTCTTTCAGTATTTTGTTTTCAATAAACTAGCACACGTCATTTAGCAAGTATTACGAAAAGCAAATCTTGGTAACTAATAATGATATAACTTTTGAATGCAATGACTCTTTACATAAAGGATTGTCATATATTTACCTTGTTATGGGGTTGACTTGTGTGACAAAGTTTTTGATAAAAATTTAAATTTTTTTAAAGATGATGAGATTTATGGTTAAAAAGTTGATAAAAATTGTATGAGATATTAAATATGTGGTTAAAATTTGTAATTTTATCAATTTAGAAATTGATAAAAGTTTAAAAAAAAAAAAAAAAGGCATTATATATGTATCTTATCAGTTTCAACTAGTTTCAAACTCCATTAGATCTCGATCGTAGTAAAGACAACAAGATTAGCTAAGACTCAAAAAAATGGTCTTTCCCCTTTTTTCTTTTTTTTTTCGTTTTTTTTTTTTTTTAAGAAAATGAAATTAAACAGTGGCATGTATATAAAAATTTACATAAACATAGTCACACTTATGAAGGGTATCAAACCGGGAGTACAATAATATTGTTGTGAGTCATTAACAGTGATTTATTTTCTGCTCTTCTCTCTCTCTCTCTCTCTCTCTCTCTGCTTTTGGTCACAAGATTATGCTTCTGCATGTTATATTAATTAACAGAATAACATGCAGACAGAAATGAATATGCTTCTATGCATGAGAAGCTTGCAAACATGATGTGTGTGTGGGTGTGTAGAGAGAGAGAGACAATTTATAAAAGTTTTATTTATGGATAAATTGGCTATAACACGAGTCTACATTATACATCAAACAAATTAACCTGAAATGAAACTCTGGAAACTATTTGAAAGAAATATCGAAATAATTAATTATACACGTGCACCTGCATCTGATGAAAATCCATAATATAAATTACAAGCCATAATAAACTACTTATACATAATACATGCATGTTTATGCATTTGGTCCAGTGGTCTTGTTTGCAAAAGAATGACCAATACCGGGACTGTGACCTGGTCCTGTGGGTCGAAAGACATCAGTGTTTCCTCCAGCGTTGTCCTTTTGGGCTGGAGAGGAGTGCCCAATTCCAGGACTCTTTCCTGGTGATGTAGGTCGAAAATCATTTACACCCATTGCATGAGAACTGTCGATTTCATGTTTTTGATTAGTTGGTGGGGGAATGCGCTTTTGTCCTACAATTTGAAGGGAAGCATTTGCAGGAAGGGTAGCTGAAAAATCGTGCTTTTCTTGTTTCTTAAATGGTTTTAGTTGCCTTGCTTCGGTAAGTGAAATTTGAAGGCAGGAAAAACCAGCAAGAAGGAACAGAAACATAGAGATATTTTGTATGTAGGCCATGAAAGGAAAGTGGATACGCAAATGTAGTTCTTTGCTGCTTTAATATGTGCGTGTTTTAGGAGAGGAGATATATTTGCGGTTTTGGAGCTGAATATTTCGAATTCAGAATCGTCTTGGTATTTATAGCCTTGGGGTATCACATCATGTCAACAACTTAACCATTGAATGTCCTTAGTGAAAATAATAATAATGATAATAAAATTCCATAATGTGGTACTTTTTCTTTGGTGGTTCATATTAATTTCTTAAACCATTTAATTTATATTTGAATTGATGCAGTGCTCATCTCTTCATGTTAGGATCTTTTGGTTTAACTTGTTTCTTCTTGAATGCCCGTTGAACGATACGATAAGCTAATTCAATGTTATTCATGAGAACGAATCTTTCTCGAGCAGTTGGTTTCACATGATTAATATATGGTCATAAATATTGACTTATTAATATTTCACTTGGGAGCGAGATAAATATGGTTTATACATGAGAGTAAGATGACGGTGGGTGGGATGGTAATCTCTAAGAAAATGTATATTGGTAAACTTGGGTGGAACTTGTTATAGAATGCATGACTAATATTCATTATGAGCTCCTTATTTGATTCTTACGGCATCTCCAGTGCAACCTATGGATTACAATTTAGATGGCATGCAAGATAAATGACTTTTGATGTACGTGACACTTATGTCTATAAAAACATACATATGTTTAAAATTGGCCTCCAACTGGTCGTATTTATGACCTGAAGTGTCTTATTTTTTTAAATAAAGATAAAATAATACCTAAATTTGTATGGAGAATATAATTTTTGTCAAGTTAGCACGTCTAATAGAATTTCTAAATCCAGATTAAACTAAACAATGTCCGTTTATTCGTTTGTCACATCAACTTGATAGAGTTTTTGTTAGATTGCATTGAAGATTTTTTTTTTTTTTTTTTAAAAAACTCAATTTTCTTTGTATGGTAATTTCTTTTAGCAATCCACGGAAGCGTAGGAGATGCTCTCACCTTGATAATTGGCTAGTATACTCACAAAGAGATGTATCTAATGCTTAGCCCATGTATGGGCTCCATTATTTTCAAAATATATTTTTTCAAACTCATTTTTAACTACATATTCTTTGATGAAATAATATTATTCATAAACCCAAAACTTTTTCTTATCTTTTAACCATACATTCTTTAAAAAATCAATATCCTAAATACATTTTCTCCCAAAATCACATTCAAATGGAGCCCAAACCTGGACTCAGTCAAATTTTTATGTAAGATTTTGTGTCTTAATACATCAGTTTGCTTAGCTGTTTATTTACTTTCATGCTCTCTCCCCACTCACTCAATAATTTATTTATTTATTTATTTTATTTTATTTTTATTTTTTTTGAGGCTTCAAACTCCCCTACCTCACCCCCAAAACATAGTGCATCTGGACTAAAAGAGGTTATCGTCCATGAACATGACATAGTTGAGGACCAAGTTACCATCGACTGTATGCTTTGCTGTCACATGCTGCATGGGTGGTAATTATTCATTATTTTTGGCAAATTATATTTCTTGCACTATAAACAACGAAATTAACGAGCATAGGTGGCTTCCCACTTAATTGTGTCTACTTATAATTAATGTGGATGGCTCATATTTCAAACACTTTCGGTAAACAATTCGAAGTGAAAGACAGTCTGTCTGTGGTTTAAGTTTTGTTTAATAAATGGTATGACTGCTGAATTATTTTGTGAGAATATTCCACTAATTTACAATCATGGTAAAATGTATTTAGTTGGAATGTTTCTCTAATTTACAATTATGATAAAAAAAAATAAAAAAATAAAAAAGCAATGCTATTCATAATCGCCCACTTCAATACTCGACCTACGCGACATCCTACATGGCTATTTGTGATTTGGTACATTAATGTGTTAGTTTTTTTTTTTTTTTAATCTCGTGCATTAAATTACTAACCATCACATAGCGACGACAGTAATGAATGACTACAAATAGTTTTATTAATGATAAATTTCTGCTTCCAGACTTAGAATATAAATATAAATAATCTTGCTGCTTTGAGAAGAAATGAAAAAGGTAGTATCCATTAATGGACTTTGCTTGTGACCATCGAAAGTGCCCGACCTTGCCTGACCATGGTGTCTAATGGATGTACTGGACTGGAATGAAAGTGACTTGTATTTGGTAGTTGATTTGATCAACTTTCCATTGTTTATTTTATGGTACTTCAGCTTAAAAAATGGCATCACTGAACCACTGCGGATATTCTATTATTCTTTTCAAAACCAAAATCTTGATTTTTCATAGGAACACTTTAGCAGATTTGGCATCTATCATTTATTTAGTATTCTATCTCCAGTTGCTCATATTACTCTAGGTGGTATAAATGTGTAGTCATGAATATTGAGTCAACCTGCTTTCCAAATTATGTTCTTTGCTCTCCACTTCCACCTGGATGATCTTAAACACCAATAATGGTATATAACATTATTCATTACTCAATTTAATCAGTATAGAATTTGCTCAAATACTTGTAAAATAATGGTTTTTATAAATGAACTTGATAATTAGAATTTCATGTGTCTCTATCACATTCTGCCATAATTAAAATACATCTCAATTTTATATGAGAACGTGACGGCTATCTAATACCATCACATTGACTTTTTGTAAGTCGTAGCAATACTTATATTTTTATTTGCATTAGGGCCAGAAATTTCTAGAGAAGCACCAAAGGCAGCGCATGTGCAAGACCAGAGAAACTGCCACTTCAGGGGGAAAAAATGAAATTTTGTTGAATGGGCGGCTGAGATGAACAGCAGTAATTTTGTTGAATATATTATTCTTAATCTTTTATTGTATGTGCGACTTTTTGACCTAATTATCATATATGATAATATTTGGACCTTTGTGTACAATTTAATTAATAAACAAAGGTTTGACCAGCCGCTGATTAGATTCTTTCGGTTGATAACAACGGACCCACCAGAATCTACCACTACAAGAGTGGTGGCAATAGTTGGAATGCTGGAGCTTCATGATGCTTTATTTTCTTGATTATAACTTCATATGATTAAAAACGAAAGTGTGTCTAGAAGTTTGACCCAAATTTGTTTGGGTTTTGGTAGATTAATTGAAGTGGTGCCGCGCTCGAGCATCGTCGTGCTCCGTCTCGTGATTCGTTCTGCATTTTGACGCATTTTTTTATGTTATTTTCATTTTTAGGACTTATATTAGGGTTTAGCATGTTCTCTATATATAATAAACTCTTCTTTACAATTAGAACAATTTAGACAATATTGTAAATACAATATTTTTGTATTCTTTCTCCATATTATAATCAGTTCTCCTTTTCCTCTGCCAATTTTCTTGTGTTTTGCTACTTTATATTGTGTCATGTAATCTCGTCTTATTTCCTAACAAGTGGTATCAGAACTATACATAGTTCTTGCTAGTTTGTTAATAAGTGGTATTAGAGTTTAAGATTTAATTTGTTCGAGGTTTTGTTCTAATAAGAGCAACCATGAAGTATGATATTTTGTTTTTGGATTGCAACACTAAATTTTTGTTGTGACGGGTGAAGATACGAGTAGTGCTCGCTCGAATGGATTTGGAAGATGCTTTATTAGGATTTGACAATACGCCCTTAAATTGATCGATGGAGTAGAAATAACACAAAGATCGAAAGGCTCTATCACAAATTCATCATCATCTTTAGAATCATATTCTTTATGACGTTTTGAAAGAGAAAATCGCAAATGTGTTATGATTGAAGTTGGAGCAATTGTACATGACTAAGAGTCTAACTAGCAAATTGCACCCGAAGCAACATTTGTATTCTCATCATATAGCGGAAGGTGCGTCCTTAGAAAATCACATTCCTGTGTTTAAAGAAATTGTCACTGACTTGGAAACTTTGAGGTCAAGTATAATGAAGAAGATTTGGGGATGATTTTGTTGCATTCGTTGCCCGTTTCATACATGTAGTTTAGAGACATGACATTATATAGTCGTAATACACTCACCATTGAAAAAGTATATGATACTTTATTTTCAAAGGACAAGATGAAGCATTTTGTTGGATTTGAGGCTCAATGAGAACGCCTTGTTGTTCATGATGATTATGAGAGGGACAATTCGAAGTCTAACTTCAGTAATAAAATTTGTAACTATTGCAAGAAGAAGTGGCACATTAAGAAGGATTGCTATAAGTTGTAGAATGGATAAAAATTGGTTACAAATCAGAAGGGAAAGCAACCAAAAACTTCAAGTGAAGTCAACGTTGCAGAAGATTACTACAATGATGGAGAACTTTTAGTTATTTCTGATAGTGACTCCAAACTTGACGAGAATTGAATTCTTGATACAGCTTACATTTTTCATGGATGTTCGAATCGAGATTCGTTTTCAACATATGAAACAGTTATAAAAGGTGTTTGTGATAATGGGTAACAATGAACCTTATAAGACAGCTGATATTGAAATGTCAAAATTAAGATATTTGATGGGACAGTTAGAACACTTGATGAGGTGAGATACGTTCCATATTTAAACAGAAATCTTATCCTCTTGAGTATTTTTTATTCAAAAAAGTACAAGCTCAATGGTGAATAAGGAGCTTTGAAGGTTATTGATGGTTTCTGTGTTATATTGTAGGGATAGAGAAGATCCCAGTTACATGTCTTACAAGATTTTGTAGAATCTTTGAAGATCAATCGGTAGAGGTTTGGTACTTTGGTGGATATTCAGTTTGATACAATACTATTGTAATTTGATTTAGGTTCTATATTGAAGAATATAGCTCAATCAATTTCAAAAGTTATGGATAATACTGCTTTACCACCATCACCGGTGGTGTCATCATATTCAAAAGTACAGGGAATCTGATTTAATTGCATACGCTTTTGGCGTGGTTGAAAGTGTTGAGTCTAATGAAGAAAGTTCTATAGAAACATTTTGTGGTGTTGATTCTGTTTCGTGGTGTGTTTCGGTCTGTTTTGGTA